CGCGGGAAGCGGGGGGGGGAGGAGGAGAAGCGGGGCAGAGTGTTCAGAGGCGGAGCGGAGGTGAGCTGGGGCCGGGGAGCGGGGCGGAGAGCTGGAGCACCCATGGGGTCGGCTCCTAAGGCGCCACTTTTGGATAATGTGCTCAGGGGGAGCAGCTGCTCCCTCTGCTCCCCCCCAGCTACGGTCCTGGTCACTTCAACTTACCGGTTGTTAAATTTAGAAGCCCTTTTAGAACCGGTTGTCCCGCGCAGGACAACTGGTTCTAAAAGGGCTTCTAAATTTAACAACTGGTTCCCGCGAACCGGTGCGAACCGGCTCCCGCTCACCACTGGAGACTCCCCTTGCCGCTCTCACCCTAGGAGCCAGAGACCTCCCAGCAGGGCTGGTGAGTGCGGCCAGGGAAGGGGGAAGGGTGTAGTGGAGTGAGTGTCTGGGAGATGTGCGGGGGGTGCTGGGCTGTGAGGGTGTGGAGGGCGCTGGGCAGTGGGGGAGGTTTGTGTGTTTTGGGGTGCTAGGCAGTGGGGGCTTGTTGGGGGGTGCTGGGCAGTGAGGGAGATCTGTGTGTGTCAGGGCACTGGGGGGTCTGTGTGGGGCATTGTTTAGTTGTGGTGGTGGGGCTGTGGGGAAGGGCACTGGGAGGGAGGGAGGAGAAATCTGTGTGTATTGGGAAACTAGCGAGTGGGGGGTTCTATGTGGGGTGCTGATGTGTATTAAGAGTTACCAGCTGGATTGAGGACTGATAGATCTGGACAGAGTTTATATTGAATGGGCAAATGAAAAAGATCCCAGGGAAAAACAGTAAGGTTAGTTTAGCCGTCTTTGACATTTCGACCAATAAGGAAATTAAAATGCATTTGTAATTACATATCTTATTCTTGGCTGATAATCATTTATTGATATTTTTTAGGAAAATTTTCAATTTAAAACACAAACTTTTGTTTTTCTTTTTTTACTTATGATGTCTATCTGAAAACCCATATAAATTGACACAAATTGCAAATTAAAACTTTTTAAATGTATAAGCATTTTACTCACTTGGGCACATTTGCCTCATGGCACACAAATTTGAACTCTGCTTCAAAAATTTGCACAGAAGAAATTTTTCTTTTACCTTAATTATACTATCTTAGGAGCCCGCTATAACATAGTACCAAGGTTCAATACAAAGTCATATAAAAGTTATACAAAAATGCATAATGCAGAGATTTATCTACAACTGCATTGATTGACTGCTGTGTGCAGTAATATAGTGACCCCTGGACCTACAGGCTTCCACACACCGTCAGTGCCTTGCTAGTGTGCCATGCGCTGTGAGATATCTCTTCTCTTTGTGTGTGACTGTGAGTGTTTCCCTTGTGTGTGAATTTATTCGACAAAATCTTGAGCTTCATAATGGATACCATGAGTGAAAAGAAAAAGAGAAAAATAGAATCAGAGCACAGAGTTTTCAACACTGAATGGACAAATAAATACTTATATACTATTTCCAAAGACAAAATACTGTGCCTCGTGTGTCGCGAAACGTTAGCCGTTCCGAAAGAATACAACCTTCGGTGGCACTTTGAAACTAAGCATCCCAATCTCGCCAAATTGAGCCCAAATGAAAAAATAATTAAAGCAGCCAGTTTAGCGAAAAACCTTAGTAGAGAACAGCAAATTTTCAAGAAAGTGAGCACTGAGAACGATAGAGTTACTAAAGTAAGCTTTAAAATTTCTAAGGAAATTGCTGCTGCTGGGAAATGCTTGACAGAAGGCGAGTTATTAAAAAAGTGTATGTTGATTGCTGTATCTGAGTTATGTCCAGAAAAGAGGGGAATATTTGAGAATGTCAGTCTATCACGCATGACTGTACGGAGAAGAATAGCTGACATTTCTACCAATTTAAGTGATCAGTTAAAACAGAGAGTCAGTGAATTCTGCTTTTACTCCCTAGCTATGGATGAAAGCACCGATTTAAAAGACATCGCCCAACTTCTTATTTTTATTAGAGGTATTGATAAAAACTTTGAAATTACTGAAGAACTTGCTGGCATGTGCTCCATGACGGGTCGCACAACCGGAAAAGAAATCTCCAGTGAAGTGATAAAGTGCACGAATGATAAGTTGGGATTAGATTTCACAAACTTGGTGGCCATTTGTACTGATGGTGCTCCAGCTATGTGCCAAAAAAATGTTGGAGCAGTTACTCTTCTTGAAGAATTTATCGGGAGAGAAATAACCAAACATCACTGCATTATGCATCAGCAGGTTTTGTGTAGCAAAGTCTTAAAATTTGAGCATGTAATGTCAGTGGTAGTTTCCATTGTAAACTACATCCGTTCTAGAGGACTAAAACATAGGACATTTCGAGCCTTTCTTGAAGGGGTAGACATCGAGTGCAATGACTTCATCTACCATACAGAAGTGAGGTGGTTGAGTCAAGGAAGAGTGCTCCAGCGTTTTGTTGCTTTGAAAGAGGAGGTAGCAAAATTCCTAGAAAATGGGCCAATAAAATTCCCAGAGCTTGAAAATGAGTCCTGGAATCAAGATCTCTTTTTCTTTTGTGATATTACAGCACACCTGAATGATCTCAACATTCAACTTCAGGGAAAAAATCAACTTATATTTCAAATGTGTGAAGCAGTGAAAGCTTTCAAAATGAAATTGAGACTTTTCAGAAGTCAGCTGTCAAAAGGTGAAATGTGTCACTTTCCCACTTGTGCACAGCGTATCCCTCAGCACAAACACGCCGAGTTAGGAGAAAAATACGCAAAGCACATCATTCTTTTGATTGAAGAATTTGACAGAAGACTTACTTTGTCTAAAGAAGAAGACATCCAGTTGAAGCTGATTGAAGATCCCTTTTCTGTGGATCCAGAGGAAGTGCCTCTAAATTTGCAGTTGGAGGTTATTGAACTTCAGTGTTCAGCAGTTTACCGAAATAAGCACAGAGAAAGCAGCTTGCGGGAATACTACAAAAGTCTGGACAATGAAGTTGCACTGAAAACGTTCAGCATTTTTGGACGCACTTACATATGTGAACAAACATTTTCCATCATGATCATGAATAAAAACAAGCAACGTTCTTCTCTGACTGACGACCATTTGGAAGACATTATGAAAATATCCACTTCAAATATGACCCCCAAATGCGACAAGCTTGTTGCCGAAAAGAGATGTAATATTTCTCATTAAATTTGCAAGGTAATTATGAAAAGTACAAATGTTTTCTTTCAACGGAACAGATGTTTTTAATTTTTCCATGATTAATAAAAAAATTTAAAATAATTTAAAAAATTGTTTGATTTAATTGAAAAATTCTTAATAAAGTATCACACACCCTCCCCCCCAAACCTTAGCTGTTTCGGCGGGGCAGTGCTGGGGAAGGAGGGTTTGTTTCCGCGGGGCTGGGCGGTGGTGGTGGTGGGGTGTTTCCGCGGGGCCGGGGGGTTTCGGCCCTCAGCTGTTTTCTTTGGAGTAATATGGCCCTCGCCGCTTTACGAGTTGTGCAGGCCTGGTCTAGTGGTTAGGGCACCAGCCTAGGACTTGGCACACCCAGTTCAGTTCCCTACTCTGCCACAGACTTCCCGTGTGACCTTGGTTGAATCACTTAATCTCCCTGTGCCTCAGGTTGCTCTCTGAATCATGGGGGTAACAGCACTATCCTGCCTCACAGGGGTGTTGAGGATAATCCATTAAAGGCTGTGAGGAGAACAGATGAGTACCTTAGCTAGATCCCTGGAGGGGAGAGGGGAAGACCCACCTGGGGAAGGGAGAGGGTTCTGCAGAGGAGAGACTGGTGGTGGAGAGGCCCTCTGAGCTAACATTGGGGGCGGGTCCGGTATCTGTCCCCTCAGAGCTCTGTCCCCAGCCTGGCATCGGAAATCACCAGCTCTGCCTTCTCCCCAGACGCCCATCACTACACCATGGTGGAGTTTGCCATGGCGCACTTCAGGGAGGCCCAGTCCACGTGAGTAGCCCGGGCCCCTCCTGCTCGTGGCCGTGTGTACATGTGTGTACACATGCAGGCAGCCCCTGCCTGCGCAGAGCGAGCTGTGGGCATCTCTTGTGCCAAACAAATGTCCCCTCTCTCTAGGCTGGGATGGAAGGGGATGAGCGCGGAGAGGAGGAGCCCAGCTGCCCTGGTTGAGCACACCAAGGTGGGTGTCTTTGGGGGTGGAAGGAAGGAGGTGTGAGTCTCCAGACAGAACTTCAGCCCAGGGCCACCTCCCCCTGCCCCAGACGGGGCGGTGTGTTTATTTGGGGGGTGGGCGGTTTGGAGTCAAGGGCTGACGGGCTGGAGTCCCTGGGCCTGCAGGAGGCATCGACCACGCTGGGATTTCCTGTGTTGCCTGCACTTCCCGGCGAGGCCAGCGTCTCTCCTGCGCTGCTCCCACTCACCCCAGTGCTCTGGCTCTGCAGGTCCCGATCCAGGAGCCCCTGCTTCAGTACTCTGACAGCGAGATGAATGAGCTGGCGACAAAGAGCTTCATGAGTAAGTCGCTGCCCTGGGGCATAGAGGGGTGGGGCTGTGGGAGCCCGGAGAGGGGCTGATTTAGATAGTCCCAGTGGCCACACAAAGATGCCCGTTGCTCAGAGGAGGGAAGAATAACCTGGTGGGAAGGGACAGCAGAGGCCCTAGGGCACTTCCACCTCTAACAACCATGTGCTCCGTAAAACTCATCTGCCTGGTGCTCGGTGTGCTCCTACTGGAGATGAGATTGTGTTCTAGCGTCCGGATCCACACCCCTCCCCCTGGACACCCCAGGAACCACACACCAGGGCTTCATCAGCCCCACCTTCTACCCATCCAGTCCCAGTCTAATGCTGGCTCCTGCCTTGCAGCTTTGATGAGGTTCATGGGAGACCAGCCCACCCTCAAGAACCAGGCCGAGATCGATTACATCTATGAGATTCTTCAGGTTCGTGGTCCTCCTGACGGTAATGTGCTGGGGTGCTGAAGGGGATGGGAAGCCAGGAGCTGGGCTCTCCGGGAAACAGGGGTGTGCGTGGGCAGAGATCCGGGAACTCCCTCTTAGAGGGAGAGGTGGAATCTGAATCGGGGTTGGTGAGAAGGAGAACACATGATTTCAACTCCTTGGGCATCTCTCCATAAAGATGATGTAGGAGCAGTTCATTTCCTGCTGGGCCAGATGGCTGCCAGTCCCAGGAAGGCTCAGAGACCAGTGAATGGGAACCCCTGGGTGAATTTTGGTGAGGCCCTGAGGGTCCCCTGTGTGTGCTTGGGAGATGTCACAGGGGCTGGCTTGGAGGTCTGGCCCCTCTGATGCTGGTCTCCCATGTGCAGCTCTGCAAGGAGAAGGAGAACCTGCGCGATGAGGTTTACTGCCAGGTCATCAAGCAGATCACGCAGAATCCCAAGCTGTGAGTACCGAGGGCTCGTCCGTGGCAAGAGATGGGCGTGTGCCCAGAGGGGGCTACCTGGCTGGAGGGAGGGACTGGGAGAACACAGGGAGGGCAACCTCCTGGCTGCATGGTTGTGATGCAAGGGGAGAGCCGGCCTTGCGGCCATAAAGAGTGAGGGCGGTGAGTGTGGGGAAACTCACACTGGCAGGAGGGGTGTGTGTGTGTGCGTGCGTGCTGGATCAGACCAATGGTCCATGTAGCCCAGTATCCTGTCTTCTGACAGTGGCCAGTGCCAGGTGCTTCAGAGGGAATGAACCAAATAGGTAAACATCAAGTGATCCATCCCCTGTCGCCCATTCCCAGCTTCTGGCAAACAGAGGCTAGGGACACTTCAGAGCATGGTTTTGCATCCCTGCCTATCCTGGCTAATAGCCATTGATGGACCTATCCTCCATGAACTTATCTAGTTCTTTTTTGAACCCTGTTATAGTCTTGGCCTTCTCAACATCCACTGGTAAGGAGTTCCACAGGTTGACTGTGCGTTGTGTGAAGAAATACTTCCTTTTGTTTGTTTTAAACCCGCTGCCTATTAATTTTGTTTGGTGACCCCTAGTTATTGTGTTGTGAGGAGTAAATACAGTAACACTTCCTTATTTACTTTCTCTACACCCGTCATGATTTTATAGACCTCAATCATATCCTCTCTTAGTAATCTCTTTTCCAAGCTGAAAAGTCCCAGTCTTATTAATCTCTCCTCATATGGAAGCTGTTCCGTACCCCCTAGTCATTTTTTGTTGCCTTTTCTGAACCTTTTCCAATTCCAATATATCTTTTTTTGAGATGGGGCGACCACATCTGCACGCAGTATTCCAGATGTGGGCGTACCATGGATTTATATAGAGGCAATATATTTTCTGCCTATTATCTATCCCTTCCTTAATAATTCCCAGCGTTCTGTTTGCTTTTTGGACTGCTGCTGCACATTGAGTGGATGTTTTCAGAGAACTATCCACGATGACTCCAAGCTCTTTCTTGAGTGGTAACAGCTAATTTAGACCCCATCATTGTATATGTAGTTGGGATTATGCTTTTCAATGTGCATAACTCTGCATTGAATATCATCTGCCATTTTGTTGCCCAGTCACTTTAATGTTGATTAAGGAGCAGGGGCAGAGTCACTTTTCAACTATTTCATCAGTGAGTGCAATGCAGAAACATTGGACCTGAGATTCTCCTCTCTTATGCTGGTGTAAACCAGGAGTAAATCCCCTGCAGTCCGTGAAGTTACCCTGGTGTAAACTTGGTGGGCCCCACCACAGAGCAGTAATTGCCTGGCATGTGCATTACCACAGGCCGTGCAGTTTATCAGGGCACCTTGTGGATGCCCGTAAGCATGCCCCGCTCCCTGCGTGTGCACCCCATCTGCTATCACCCCAGGGCTATGGCTCTGAAGAAGTTAAACAGTAACTGGGTTGGGATTAGTCACTCATGGAACAATGCTCTTGTCTGTCTCAGTTGCTGAGGTGTGTTTGCACTGACAGACGTTTTGCCCTGGTGATTTGATGAGTCCCAATTGCCTCTATATTGAGCTCCCTGATAAGCTGCTGATGGCTCTGAGATGCCCTTGCATTCCTGTGGCTGCTGCAGCGATTCCAGTTATTGGTGTGCGTTCTTGTGCCTTATCTCTGCTCTTCCTGGGGATAGCCAGCGTGTGGTTCTCCTCCAGAGACCACTGATCCAAGGCTGAATGGCAGCTATCACTGCCTCCATCCATCACTGTCCTCCTGCAGCGCTGTGTGATAGGTCAGTCGCCAGGACTGGGAGCTCCCGGGGGCAGAGCCTGTCTCTTGGTTCCAAGGTTTTGTCCATGCAGGCTTTGTACTGGGAAACCTGCCAGGTGTGGGGAGAATTTCGACTGAAATAGTTATACTGGTACAAGCCCTACTGCAGATGCAGGTATAAAGGGGGTTAGACCACAGCAGCCTATTCCTGATCAGGAAGGGGGTTACTTCTCCTTTACACCGCTATAACTGCATTCACTCTAGGGTAGCTGTACCAGTAAAACTACACGGCTATCCCTGAAGTAGTACAACGTATGTATATGTGTGTAGACAAGGCCTGGGTGTGCCCGTACAGCGCCCAGCACAACAGGGTGCCGATACCTGAGGGGGGCCCCGGTGTGACTGTGGTGCAGGTCCCTGACATGGATCCAGTTCACCTGAGCTTCCTTTTTCTGGCTGAAATGATCGAAAAAACAATCTCATGCTCACTGTTTTCTGTTCTGTTCGGCTTCTTGTATCTTCCTCGGCACCGGGGTAGCAGAGCCCCGTCCAGCCACGTGTTAAGCCATGTGACTGACCTCCATCCCGGGTGGTTTGCTGCTCTCTGTCCCTGGGGGGAGAATTGTGTGTGCAGTGGAGGGTTTTGTTTTCACTGTGGGTTTTCTCTCCTTCCATCAATCCCTTCCCCTCCTCCTTCTCCAGCCAGGCATCCATGTTGTTAGACATCCCTGTGCTATCTGAGCAGTGGAGCTTCAACTGAAGTCCCTTCCACACCATTTTCTCTCTCTCTCCCTCTCCCCCCCCATCTCCTGCCAAATCCTGAGATTCACTTAAAACTCGTGAGATTGTAAAGAATAATCCCTGGCGGGTTCCCTCTATCAGCCTCCCAGTGCTGGAGCCTTTAGGGGTCAGTTTTCAAGCTTTCTCTCTGCAGCCAGGCGGGCTAGACACGTCATTGTATTGTAAGTGAAAACTGAGCTCCTCCCCGGATCTCATGGCTCCAGTAGCTGGAGCTTTAAGAAAACCCCCAAATATTACAGGACTCATGATAAAATTGTGAGTTGGTGACGTTGGTTTTAGTTCTTTTCAACCCCCCCTCTCCACCCGAGGGTGTCCCTCCCCCCTCCGTGTGAGAGTTTCTCCCCCTGCCTCCCTCACTACCATACCTGGCGATCCAGTGTCCTCTGTTTCTCTGGGCCCTGCAGGGAAAGCTGTATCCATGGCTGGCGGCTCCTGAGCCTGCTCACTGGCTTCTTCCTTCCCTCCAACACCTTGATGCCATACGCCACCAAATTCCTGCAGCAAGCCAGCGCCGATCCAGCCAGCACCCACCAAGGTACCGGCTGCTTCCCAGCCCCTGCTCTTTGCACCAGCTGTGGGGTGGGGTGGGTCGGTCTGGTTAGACCTCCCTCTCCCCAAGAAAGCAGCTGTCCTGGGAGCGTTGGGGAGTTGATGGAGCACTTGGGTTACTGGAGGGCAGTGTTTGAAAAGTATCCCTTAACACAAAGCAGGCGGTCGCTGGGGGCTCTGCATGGATGGGGGTGGTCTGGACAGATCACTCATTGCCAGGGGCTTAATCCAGTTCCCTTTGAAGTCAGTGTAGCCTGTGATCTGGTTATAACTGTACCCGTGGGGCTGAGGGACGGTCAGGCTGCTCTGTCACTTGAGCCATCAACCGGCTGGGTGGAGGGATCTGAGGAGCTTGGGGTGACAGTCTCATAAGAAAACAGGGAACAGAGGAGGCTGCCAGTCCTCCTCCCTCCCCTGCAACCTCCTATGCCCTGTTTGTCCCCTGCCAACCCCAGAAGGTCGCAGAGAGGCCTGTGCTGCCCTGGGTGGATTTCTGTTGGGAAGGGCTTAGGTGTCTCTTCCACTAGAGCAGAGGCCTTGATCGGGGTCTGGTGCCTGCAGGCTGACCCGGCCCAGGGGGATTAGCTGCTCAGCCCTTCCTCTTCCTCAGCTTGTAGCATCTCTCCCTTTCCCACAGATCTAGCCAGGACCTGCTATGGCAACCTGCGGAAGATGATCATGTACGGCAGCCGCCGGCACCTGCCCTTCCGCGTGGAGATGGAAGCGCTCCTGGTACCTGGCAGGGGGAGGAGCAGGGTGTCTGGGGCATGCAGGGTGGGGGTGGCATGGGGAGAAGGGAGCTGTGGAGGTGGGTTGGGTGCCATGGGACATGAGTGGAGGGTGCTGGGTGTGGGAGGGGAGTGTTTGGGGTGGAGATGGTGCAGCGCAGGGTGGAGTGAGCACTGTGGGGGTTGTATGGGTTCATTGCCACCTTTCTATCTGACCCTGTGCTTTCCCTGGGCAGAAGGGGCGTGGCTCCCGCCGGATAGTGATCGTCCTGCCCGGGGCCCTGGAATACACCACCAAAATCAGGACATTCACTGTGAGTTCCCTGCCCCCGGCACCCCCGTTTGGTCCAGGCTCTAGGGCACTGGGGAGATGGGCAGCGTTACACAGCCACATGGGTGAGCCCCTGCCTAATGCTCCCGGGAAGAGCCAAGCCAGGAGATAATTCCAGCCCCGGGACTTGGTTGGCTCCTCGTGTCAGCTGGCACCGGCTCCCTCCTGGGATGTGACAGTACCAGCACAACTCATAAGTGTTTGCCCCATGCCAAGGGCGCCCCTGGGGCCCTGCGTCCCCCCCATGCCGGGAGTGCTGGGCGGCCCCCTTGGTCCGTGCGTCTGCCCCATGCCGGGAGTGCTGGATGGGTCCTGGGACTGAGCAGCCGCCCTCTGCCGGGAGGCCCCCGCAGCCATGTGTCTGCGCAATGTCTCATTAGCAGAGAACTGTCATTACCTTCCCCTCCAGAACTGCGGGGACAGGGGAACCCCATCCTCATTGGGCTGGGCTTGTAAGTTACCTGGCTGCTCCCAGAGCCCTGCCCAGGGCAGAGGTGCTTCAAGCTTTCTGGGCGTAGTAGAATTGAGTCGGAATCATCCCCTGTGAATCAGTGTCAGGGCTTTTCGAGGGTTGATTCACTGAACAAGCAAATGTTCCCAGCTGCTGCCCCTTTGGGGTATGGACAGAGAAACCACCAGCCCCAGAGGCTGGCTGGCACGTCTGTGCCCAGACCCTGTCTTTGGGTTCTGCTCTGTCACTCTCCACTCCCCATCACGCCCACCCTGTAGCAGGAAGCGAGGCCAGAGGCATCTGCTCGCCCTTTGGAAGGGGTGTTTGCCCGGTCCCGAGGGTAAAAACCGCCCATCTCCCTCCCTGGCTGCAGGTGGCTGCGGAAGTGGTGCGGGAGATCTGTGAGCAGATGGGGATCAGCGAGCAGGAGGAGATCCAGGAGTTCGCTCTCTTCGCCAGCAAGAACGGCGGCAAGTAAAACAGTGTTTGCGTTGTCCTGGGGTAGAGTCAGATCCCTGCAGAGTTACCTGATGTGGGGCTTTGGCTCAGCTGGGAACCTCTCTGACCCCTCTCCCTCCCACAGGGCTCCATACCCGCAGGTTGCTGAAATCAGCTGGTATAGGGCAGAGTGAGCCAGGCCAGCCCACCCTAGAGGCAGCTCTGAGGTGCATTGTGAGGAGGGGGCATGGCCTGGCTTCTTCCCCCTCCCCTTTGTGGATGCGTCCCCCTGGGGCTGCTAGCAGGGAGCAGTCCCTGAGCATCGGCTAGCACAGGGCTGGAACTGTGCCTGGCCCGTCAGCTCTTCCTCCCCACGTGCTGGTGTTGGGCCCTGTTGTGATACTGCTGCACACCAGGCTGCAGCGTCAGTGACGCTGCGATGGGAACAAGCAGCGGCTGAACGTCCCTCCTAGGCTGTTAGCGTTTGCTGCAGGCGGCTGTTTTCTAAACGCGGTTTCTCCAGCACAAAGTATCATGGCTGCTGCTTCCCCTGCTGCCCTTCCCCCACGAGAGCTGGGGAAGTGCCCTTAACTGATGGCGCCTTCCTGCTTGGGGTTCCCTGGTTTATGACACCTACCCCCAAGGGCTGGGGGACTCTTGTCCGGTAGTCTGTGTTGCTTGCTCCTAAGGCTGGTCCTCCCCTTGAATGACTGGTGGCTAGCGCTATTTGACACTGGGGGACTGTGTGGGGGTGAAGAGGCCCCCTGGTGCCCTCCCGGAGTTGCTCTGAGGAGGTGGTGACAGGGCTGTGCGTGTACAGGGAAGGTGGTGAGGCCGGTGCGCCAGGACCAATACATCCATGACTACCTGCTGGAGGACAGCTCAGTGATCCTGGATTTACGCCGGCTCTCCTGGAAGACACCCCTGCACTTCGAGAACGAGATTTATATCAGCATTCACTACAGCCAGGTAACTTGCGGAGTCAGCACCATCCGCACGAGCCCCCTGAGGCCCACGCAGCCAGGCCCACCAGCCACGGAGTAGAGTCCAGGGGCACTGTGCATACTGCTAAGGGGCTTCTCCAAAGAGCCAACCACACACTGCTTGTGGGTCTTGAGAACTCCCCCGAGGGTCTCACACAGGTACCATCCATGCAGCCCAGTATCCCACTTCCAGGAGTGGCCAATAGCTAATGCTTGATCCAAGGATGGCAGCCCCCGTGTCCTCCCGGGCAGTAAAGCAGTGGGGGAGGCAGCCAATTGCTGGACGGAAGCATGAGATCTGGGTTGGGTTTTGTTCCAGTTTGTGTGGCTTCTAATGTTCTTAACGCTCCCATCACTGTCTGATCCTCCTTGGTGCCTGTCCCCTCTCTCACATCTCCCCCTGGGGAAGAGCCCAGTACTCACCCCAGCCCTGTGCGTAGGGCAGCCACCCTTACAGGCTGCCAGGATGCTGTTTGCAGCTGTATGGGCTAAATCCAGCGTTTAGGGATCAGTGAGCAGACCCCTCCTGCTTCCTCCTCCTTCCCTTCCCCTGCTTGGAGAAAGCTGCTCCAGAGATCCCCGTCCCATTTGGGTGGCTCACGTGCAGCGCCGTGGGGTCTGTGAAGCAGTGGGCAAAGAAGAGGCTAAAGGGTGCAGTGCAGGTAGCTAGGTGTGAAAGACAGGGAGCCCAAAGGTCGATCATGGGGTCTGTATGGTACCCAGAACATGCCCCACTAGTGAGCTGCTGGTGCCTTTTGGCTGAGTAACGAAGAGGGGCCCTCAGCCTGCTGCCCTGGGCCCAGGCTGGAGCTTGTGGCCTGGCATCCAGTTAGAGCTGGGGTGGAAGGACAAGCAGAGCTCTTTGTATTGGGTTCCTGCTGTCCCTGGCTATTTGCATCTGCCAGAATGGGGCTGGGAGCTAGGTGTCTGCTCTAGTGCTCTCTCAATAGAACTCCCTGCAGTGCAGATTCCAGGCCTCTGCCGCGGGAGGCCATCCAGGCCAGTTCTTAGCAGCTGGCAAGCTTCCCCTGTGCTGTGTTTGCTCTCAGGTGCAGCGGGATTACCTGAAAGGGATGCTGTTGCTGAACTACAACAGTGAACTGGAGAAGCAGGTGGGCACCATGGCCCTTTTCCAGCACTGGGCCAGAGGACTGGGCTCCCCACCATCCAAGTAAGTCTGTCTCTGTGGGGTTTCCAGGGGTGGCCAGCCTGGACCAGAGCAGTGATCTAGGTAGTCCAGAGTCCTGTCTTGATGCTTCAAAGCACTGCCTCATGCTTCAAAGCAAGATGCAAGAAACCCTACAGTGGATAATTATGGAATAACCTGGCTGTAGGGGAAGTTCCTTCCTGATCCCAGGCACTTGGTGGCTGGCTCACGCTTGGAAGCACGAGGGTTCACATCCCTCTTACGCTCTTAACCGACCTGTGAATATTCTCAGTAGCCACGTAACATCTTTAAAAAAAAATTCTACTAAGCTCTTATCATCATTGGTACTTTGCGGCAAAGTCCCGCAAGGTTACAATGACTTGAGTACGACGGGTTCCCTCTGATCCGGTTTCAACTCGTTGCCTTTCAATTTTATTGACTGTTCCCTTGTTCTCTCGCATTAGGGCAACATTTTCACTAACATTAGGCACCATATTTAGGCATCTAATAAATATGGATGAAGGTTGCTTAGAGGAGGCTGCAGGGACAAAGGGCACGGAGACAAAGATTCCTTCCACCAGCTGGGAGCTTCATTTGCAGGGTTCCTTACAGTGTCCTTGGACCCTGTGTAGAATGGGGTGGTGTTGGCAGAGGTGGAAGCATCTTTGAAATTACCATGAGCCAGCGCTGGTGGAGATGAACCATCCTGGCTCTGGGGTACTAGGTGGTCAGGAATGTCTGCTTGAGGGGGAAGCTGTAAAGGCATTCCAGTAAGCCAGGATGGGGGTGAGGTGTAAAGTGCTATTTGCTTTAGGGGGACCGGTGGCCCCAGAGCCCCCACTGGCTAGCTATACAAATACACAACACCATGTAGTTCTATTGCAATGCTGCAACCTTCATTCAAATAGTGCTAGTTGTCTTTGGGACGTAAATTATTTCACTGGGCACTGGCTTGCCCTTCGCTGGTGTGTACGTTTCTTTCCTGCTGAAGTTGGATGTCCCTTGTTTCGTCTGTGTCTAACTCACGCATAACTTAGTCCACCTACCCCATTCCTGCCCCTATAAACTGATCTCATGTCCTCCTGATGCCCTCAACTAGTCCTGTGTGGTTCTTCTCTACTAACCCCGCATGGAAGTGAGTTAAGGCATGTCTAAGTGAACACTTACTGCCCAGCATGTCGGGGAGCAAATCTACAGCACTGCAGCCGGCCGCGCACTAATGGTGTATGTGGAGCCTGCTGATGCGCACTACCTGTTCCCTAGTGCGTGCTGACAGTTAGTGTGCGGCCAGCTGGAGCGTTGTAGATCTGCACCCCAGCTTGCCCTGCAGTAACTGTTCGTGCAGGCATGTCCTTATGTTCTCTGCTTGTCTGGTTAGTCAGGAGTTGATGGACTATACCCCAAAGCCCGTGCTCCAGCTCGTCAACCCACAGGCTCTCCAAAGCCAAGTCAACCGGCTGCTGGAAACCATGAAGCCACTCGGACAGCAGAAGGCAAAAATCCAGTTTGTAGGTGAGGCGACTGTGGACAGGGGCCCCTGGGAGAGGGAAGGGAAGAGCCCCTAGCACTGCTTGCTGCCTGGGCTCAGTGGATGCCACCTTTGCGCTGGCTTCCTGTTTGCCACCAGGTGCTATTTGCAAAGTTGGCAATGATCCTTAAAGCCTTGACGAGCCCAGGACCAGGGAACCTGAGCTCAGCCTGGGGCCAGGGCATTCGTCATAGAGGGTCCCCACCTCTGGCCTTGGCTCTCTTTGGAGGCCTGCCAGGGTTCCATGCAAAACCCTTAAGAGCTTTTCATGGGGTTCTGGTTCTGTGCGTATTTACTGTTCTTCAAAGGCCAGGGCATGAATAAAGCCAGCGTGTGGCTGCAGTGGATGGGGAGTTGCCATTATCGCTGTTTGATTTGCAAACAAGCGCTTGGGTGGATGTAGCGTTTAGCGCTGTCTCACGTAGCGTTCTGCAGATTTTGGACATAGGTATTAGTACAGTCTCCCTTCCCACAGAGCATGTGAGCCAGCTGCCTCTCTTCGGCTACAACGTGTACCCCATGGAGCGGTGCAGCGAGCCCAGGATTCCTCTACCCTGCATCCTGGGAGTGAATAGGGACCAGATCATCGTCGTGGCCAGCAGGTCCCAGGTATGCTGCCCAGAGCGCCGGGGTCAGTATCTCGCTACCTCGGCCCACTCGTGCATTGGCTTTGTGCGAACTTTCTCTTTCTCGCACAAGTCGGAGTCCATGGCAGGGGACAAAACCAGTGGACTTTGTCCACTCGCTGCCACCCCCCTACACAGTGAGCGTGGAGGTAAGCTGGCACCAGGACCCCCACCCACTACTCTGACTCGGTGGTTTTTCCATGCCGTGTCCTATAGCCCTGCACTGGCTTAGAAGAGGCTCAAGGGCTGAGCTCTGCTTCCTTAACGTTTTGTATTTACATGACTGTGGTAAAAGCCTGCACTGGGGTGGGGTGTTGAGGGCACTGGGCTCCTGAGCCTCCGTGCCCTGCACTGGAGCAGCCCCTCTGATGGCGGGTTCTCTCCCTGGGCACAGGAGCTCTGCTGCCGCATCCCGCTGAAGGAGGTGCAGAGGATGCGAACCCTGCGGCCTTTGGACGACTCTGGGGTGCCGGGTCTGGAAGTGAACTATGGCTCTGTGGAAAATCCTCAGACCATGTGGTTTGAACTGCAACAGGTAAAGAGAGCCCTGAGCACTGCCTGCTACTGGCCATGTCACTGAACATAGTTATTGGGACGATATTTAATCCTTTCTGAGTTGGTTTCTCCAGCCCAATGGTGCCCACACTTTGTCCAACTGAGACCGAGGCTGACAGCACTAGAGCCTTCCCCTAGCTCGGAGATAGGGGCTCTGCGAACTACAGTTCCCAGCATCCACTGCTCCCTCTTCAGCCAAACAGCATTGTTGGTATTGTGCTGGGAACTGTACTCAACCAAGGGCATCCCTCTGTAGTAGAGGGTGGCAAGCTCGAGCCACTCCATGGGCTATCCCGGGTCATGTCCCATCCAAACTGGCCTGTTTCCTTTAAAGATGAAAAATCTTTCCTCATCCTTCACCCTGGTTGTGATCCTCCGAGGTTCCCAGAACACAGCAGCACCTTCCCTAGCACTACCTGCAGCGGCTGCATCGCAGGCTCTTTGCTGGGCAAGACCAGCATTCAGGCTCCTGCAGTAGGTGCAGCGTGAGACTCTGGGCCCTGGTTGGGGGAGGAAATGGCAGCTGCTAAAGCCTTGAGCAGGAAAACTGCCTCAAAATTAATGATGGTTTTTCCTTGTGTAAGGAACAGGCTCAGGCCTGGAGCTGGCTCTCTGCTTAATGGATTGTATTAAATAAAAAGGAGAAGTTAGTTTAGTGCCAGCCGCAGGCTCTGGGGCTGCTAAACCTCGATGGGCTCGTCTACACAGGGATGGTAGGGTATGCCTAGGCCAGAGCTGGAAGGTATGTCCAGCTCAGGGAGCCGGTCCCACTCTAGCGTGCTACAGCCAGACGTGTAGCCGAGGTGGTGCCAGGAGCTAACCGCCCTGAGTACATCCCTACGGTTTCAGGCAGGAATAAACTCGGGGCAGCTAGCAGTGGAGTCATTGCAGCTACTCTTCTATTTTTAGCACCTAACGTGCTCAGAGCTAGCGAGGGTTTGTCTGCCTGAGCTGGCACTTACCCCCTACAGCGCCAGCACAGACGTAGCCTTAGTGCAGAGTAAGCGAGGGCATGCACCGTCTCCGTGTGGATACTCGTACTCCACCGTATGAGCACCTTTTTGTGTGCTTTAGCTCAGCACACTGAAGTGTATCCACACGGGGAAGATAGTGCAGAGTCGCTGGAGTGCCCCAGCTACTCGGGGCTCCCCCCAGACAAGCCTGAAGTTTCGCTTTGGAAGGCTAGAATTACGACCCCCCAGTCAGCTGCCAGCCTTGTAGTGAGTCAATGAATGCCCCTGTTCTTGCAGCAGCACAGAACAGTCATTCCCCCGCCCCCCCAGTTATAGTGGAATAAACAAATCCCCTAAGATTTATAGCCAGCGACCAGGGTCTGAGCATTTTCCTTGGCACCTGGGTTACATGCTGGTTCTTTACAAGAAAGAGCACAGGTAGCAATATGATCTTACCCAAGGGAAGTGGCATTGCAGGGGGCCCCTGGAAAGGGTTAAAATGGTTCCACCTTAAAAAAAAACAAAACAAAAACAGTAGCTGCTTTGCCAAGAGAAGGCCTGGGGTTTAAGCCCAGCCCTGCTGGTTTAGCAGAGGTAGGTGGCTGGATGTAGCCTCTGTTGGTGTCAAATTTCCACCTTAGGAGAGGTGAGGAAGTGAAGGGGACAGGACAGGGAGGGGCTGCGGTGTTCAGGGTAAACAGGGAATTACTTCTACTGGGCTGTAATCTTTACAGGCCAAGGAACTGTACCACACGATCACAGTCATCATGGAGGAGGGAGAATCTCAGCCCTAAAGCCCCAGGCTGGAAGACGGCTAAGCAGAACAGGGCTATCCTCAGCTTGGACAGCTTAGCAAGCACTTCTCACACTGGCCTGTGGCAGGGCTAGCCCCATTCACCATCCTGCTCTCCAGCTGCCTTGTTCTACCAGCACACTCCCCTCTCCTGCTTTCCAAGGCTGCCACTCCCTTGCCAGCCTGTCGTCCAGGCTGTTTGGTCACCTTACTTCTGCACCACCCCGTGCCAGAACCTGGACGTCCGCCGTAGTGCTGCTCCTTATCCCTTCCCGCCCCAGGCTGGGTTCGTACGTCACGCCCATTCAGAGTCCTTTGGAGCTGCATGGTCTCCGCAGCCAGAGCAGAGCACGCAATGGGCCAAGGCCCTGGTCTTTCACACGCTGCTACAAGCAAGTGGGGAGGAGCAGCCCAGGGACTTCAAGATACAGCACTGCAGTCCTTTTTTGCACTAACAACAAACTCACACATGGCAGCAGCAGGGGAGTCTGGTACTTGCCAGAGATTTTTGCATCACCAAGAAAAAGATATGACTCCATCGACTGGCATTAAATTCCTGAGAGCGGCCTCTTATCTTACTGGTGGCAGCTCTTTGACATTATCACAGAGCAGGTCGGTGAGTGTCAATATGCAATTACCACGTGTGCCAAGGCAGAGTTTGAGCTGCAATGGTAAGACTGTTGACGGCTACTCGATTTCTTACTGGCTGTCTGCATAGTGTATGTTGATTTTTCTTTCTAAGCTGAAGAACTCGGTCTGACCATACAGCTGTATATTTAAATGATGCCTACTTGCCCAGCGAACTAAGATACAAATTGCCTTCCTCAACAGAGGGGAAAAAATCAGAATGTAAAAAATAAATCCTTAATTTATTTTATTACTATAGATCTCCAGCTGGGGGAGAGGTGTTTATGCTTCTGTGGGAAAAAAAAAATCAATGAAATATTTAATAACCAATAAATTATTAAAGTCTTGGTTCCTTTCAGTTTTTGGAGCTATGAAAAGAAAACCGTTGGTTTCCATGTGCACTAGGCAAAGAGGCTGTTCTGTCAGTGGGGGCTCAGGGGCACGTTTTGGGGCATTTGAAAAGCATGAGCAGGTTGGGAATGAACATGGCCCCTTGGGCCAGCTATTGAAAGCCAGCCCCGATGCTCAGCGCGTGAACATTAGCCACCCACTAGGAATTCACTGGGGATAATGTGATGTGATTTGGCAAAGGCAGCAGTTCCTGGTAGCCAAGTGTCCATATTGTAACTAGCAACAGAGGGTCCTGTGGCACCTTTAAGACTAACAGAAGTTACATGGGTACGGAGGCTAAAAGGCCTTCCTTGCGGCTGCCTCCCAGTTTGAGCCGTGAACGAATCTTGCACTCTAGCTGCCCATGCTCCAGCTGTCCCATGGCTGAGTTTTCCAGGGGCACGACAACCTCTTGCAGGGTGGGAAGGAAGAAAGGGTTAGGAAAGAGCCTCATGTGGAGACTGCACATTCAGTCCCCAGCAGCCCGTGTGCTAAGAGGGTTGGCCGCTTTGTCAGAGACTTAAATGGCTGACTGATTCGTTGTGTAACAGAGCTGGCACTAGAAGCCAGGAGTTCTGTTGGCCGGTCCTCTCCCTAAGCAAAGTACAGCATTAACTATTAAATACAGCATAGTATAAAGTATAGCATTAACAAAACCATTCTCAGGGCAATTCAACCTTCACCTTTGAAATGGCCCCCACTGCTTTAGATCTGTTGCCTGTATATTCTCTCCCCCCCCCCCCCCCCCCCCCCCCCGCAGGCAGCTCTAACAACCTGGCCCCACCTCCCTTTTCCCAGGGCCTTGGAAGGGGAGGGTGCAGCACCAGGGCACTGTGAAAGACTAGAGGGAGGAAGAGAAACAGGACACTTAGACCCAGAGCTTCTCTTTCCTCTGCTGTCACCACCCTCTGCCAGTTCTCTTCTTATAAACCTATCAATCCCCCTCATCCACCCCAGGGGGCGCCCTATGTGTTTCCTGGCTGGAGCCCCTAGTCAGCATGGAAGGAGGCAGATTCTCCTACCCCTTTCAGCCCTCATGGGCGGTACAGAACACTAACAAAAGTGAACCACCAGGATCCCATGGATTGACAAGCTCCGGACAGAGTACCTCTGAGGACTAAAGGTAGGTAGACACCAGAATAACCCCCCCACCGCTGGGAAGTCTTGGCTCAGCACAGGGAGTAGGGTGACCAGACAGCAAATGTGAAAAATCGGGACGGGGTGGGGGGGTAATAGGAGCCTATATAAGAAAGAGACCCCAAAATCGGGACTGTCCCTATAAAATCGGGACATCTGGTCACCCTAACAGGGAGACAATCCTCTACTTACAGGAAGAGTTCCAGGGGATTTTTAATGGCAACGCAAAGATCCTAGTCCACAATAATAATAGCATGTAAAGTACTTACCTTACTGCAGCACAAAAGGCTGCCATGACTGGGATGCGACCATGCAGTTCTGGAGCATCGGGGGTGTTGAAAACCACTACTTAGCAAAATCACACATGCTGCTGCAGCTCAAGCAGCAAGGGCACAAGTAAAAGCAGAAATGTCTGAGATACGATGCACAGCTAACTCATTGTCTGTTTTACACCACCCCTCAAAAACTAACTGGAGCTAGAGCTGCTGGAAACTCAGGCTAGCTGACAATGGAGGCTGGCTCTTCGAGGTCTGCACAGAGATTCCAGCTAACTACTTCTAGGGGAAGAGAAGAATTGTGTGTTCCAAACACTATTGCCCATTCCTAGCCACCAGTTCCTAACATTCAGTTCATCAGTTGTTCAAGGGACAAGCGACTCTGCTTTTACCCAGGCGTTCACAGTGTAACGCTCAGTAAGGTAACCAGGAGCAGCAGAGCGCATCGCATGTAATGAAACAGCAGGAACTAGGCAGAGAGCCCATCGCAACTGTGACGTTCAGTTTATTGTCAGTTTACCATGCACCCTTCGGTAACATATAAAAGCCCAGTTTCCCCGAGTACAAGCTATTCAGAAGCCTGTTCCATTCCTGGCTTCTAAGATTGCAGGTTGATCCAGCAGCATTAATGCCAGCAAGGCCAATCTCTTCTCTAGGCATAGAGCAAAGGCAGAGCCCCACAAAAACTACATGTGAAAGACAATCCTGGGCACACTAGGGTCACGTTACGACTCACCGACTCCCACCAGTTCAGGCCCTCGCATAAATATAGCAGCAGATGCACCACAGCTACTGGGTCTACAAGTGCCACAGCAGCGGGTGGGTAATTGGCTGTACCAGCAGCAGCATCCTCTGTCCTAAGTCCCTGGTTTAGGCACAGTGAGGGGATATGGCTTCCAGGGGCTATAAGCAAATACTAGGGAAGTGCATCAACTTTGGTGTTGCCCCCTTATAATGCACAACCAAGGGTGGGGGTGTGTGTGAGAGAGCTGCCAGTCTGTCCAGGCTACGGCACTATTGCCCACGCCAGTTAAAGAGCACACACAGCTGGCCAGAGTAAAACCAAAATTCAAGGTGGTTTAAAAAAAAAAAAAAAAAAGCCTGCAGGGGGTCCCCAGCTTTGGGAAAGGAGACGCTGCACGTCCCATCGTCTAAACCTAAACATTTTTTCAAAATAAACATCCCCTCTAGGAACTTAACCGTCAGCTCCCATCAACAAACCCTGAGCAAAGCGTGGGCATTTGAATGTGTTTTCAGCGTAAGGCTTCTATTGGTAACATTTAAATAAAAAGGCAAGGGAGGGGGGCAAGGAGGGGTGGGTGGGGAGGATCAGAGACACTTGTGGGGAGCAGCGGGATTCATACCCAACTTGGAATCAGAGTCTGCAATTCTCAGCCGGCAGCAGCAGCGGGATGCATCGCAGCACGGCTGAGAGAGGCCACAGAGCTATGCAGCATTGGCAGACACCAGACCTCTTAGCAAGGGCTGTTGAAGGACTTCATCGTCCCTTAGGCACCAGAGGAGCTCCGGAGACAAATTCCCAGGGATCACCTGCCTAGAGATGTTCTGAAGGCCACACCCGTGGCACAGATGCCATGGAGAACAAGCAGTAACATGAGTGGAAAACTCCCCTGTGTCTCCGTGAGCCTTCAATTCCACCGACTGCAGCAGGGAATGGACATAGCTGGAGAACCGGTATCATCTTTCCGAGCTGGGCAGCGCTTGCCAGTCTGTCTCATTTTCACACCTGACTCGGGTTTTGAAAAACTCCTTGATGAGTCTCTGTGCTTCTTCTTTCACTGCAAAGAGAGGGGACATCCCCTTTGAGGAGACTCTGGCAGAGTCTGCAGCCCCCCCTCCTGCAGGTCATTGACCCATTTAGCACTAGTATATCCCCAGCTGTCTACATGATACCACCCCACAGTCACATCCCCCCACCACGTGGCGACTCACCAGCCTTGCGGACGGGATTCTTTTCCTCAGTCAGTAAGTGGGAGAGGTGTCGGGCAAATCCCTTGAACAGTTCCTGCAAGGTAGAGAAATCAAAGCGCAGAGCGAAGGTTACCCCTGGCTGCATCACCCTCTCATCACACAATCGGTGTAGGTTTGCATGCCTCTGCACCGCCTCTAGCACCATCGGGCCGTAACAGAAACAACTGTTATTTGTATTACAGTGGTGCTTACCAGTCACAAGAGAGATCGGGGCCCCGTTGTGCTAGGCACTGTATGTACGTGGAGCCGCTCAGGGTAGAAACAGCCAAGGGCTGAATTTGCTCTTAGTTCCCGGCTCAGTTTTTGCTTTTTAAAATCCGAAGGGAATAACTGGGATCCCCGTAGCACCATGGCAGTCACCACCCACCATTCCTCTCCAGAACACGTCTCGCTTCTTGGGTCACTAAGGCAGGTGGGGACACACCCTACCACCAAGTACCAGCGAGACCCTGTGGTTAAATTTGAACACCCACCAGCATCATGCACCCCTCTCCCCCGTCCCAAACAGCCTTAGGAGACACAGCTCTGGTCTCCTCCTGATAGAGAAAGCTGTTGTCTGTGCCCTACCTTGGAAGCAAATTTACCACCCTTGTAGAAAGGGGTCAAGTATTTGACGACAATATCTGCTGTCTCTTTAAGGGACACGCCTTTGGTCGCTGGCTGGATGGTCTTGGTAGTTCCTTCTTTATCAACCTGTGACAAACTCGGATCAAAAGTCACCTTCTTCTTCACTGGGCCCATGCCTTTGCCCTCTGGTTGCGACAGGATGGAAGACGCTGTCGCCTGCAACCTCTTCGTCGCAGGGCTCTCCAGATCCTAGACCAGCACGAAGAGGAGCAACCGTTCATGCAGCAGTTTCAGACTCCTAGGCCCAAGCTGCCATGTGAGGCAGAAGCATCCCCAGGCCAGCCTGCAAGCTGCTCCCATAGAGAATGCCATGCAGCCAACTCAGTCCCCTGGAGACAGGCCCTGGGCTAGTCACGGGGAAGGTACTCGAGGCATTAATCTAAGCAGCCCCGCTGTCCCCATCACACAGGAAAAGGCCTTAGAAGAAATCCCATGGGATTCGCCTCTCCAGGGATTGCTGTGTCTAAGTGCTTGGAGGAAAGCGGGATGGGGAAATCTTCTTGGATACCCCCTGGGGTGAACCTAGCTAGACGCTGCAGGAAACGAGGCCTGGGATAGATCCACAAGGGCAATCCGCTCTGCTTTTGAGTTAAACAGTTAGTGCCTCACTCCAATTCACCCCACGCATGGGGATGGTGCTGCAGCCAAGAGAGCCAGGTCTCAGGGCTGTCACAGATGTCAAACCCTGGGCTAGGGGCTGCAAGGCAGGGCGCTCAGCCCTTGCTGCACGATCATCCAGTACTGACTGGTCCATAGGGTCAGCTTTGGCGGCTGCCCTCAACTGATAAAGCATCACTTTGCTCTCTGTGAC